ACAACATGATTGTACTTTTAATTTTTCTTACTGTATTAAGTACAAGAAAATATTTAAATAAATATTTTCACGTGAAAAATCATAAAATACTATTATTTATTGTATTAAAAAAAATCAAAAGTAAATACGGGCTACCTGAACATTCCGGACATAATATTTTCAAAAAATGAAAGATTATTACTTATGGTACGTTAGGAGTTCAATGAGTTAGCTCCATGTTGAGCTGACAGGAAAAAAAAAATGTATTTTCTTGTGATTCGGCCCAATAACCCAAGAAAATATTTTTCTCGTGTTGTTCTTCATTATTCAGGTGTTATTTTAGTAGTATTGATGTGTTTTTTTATTTTTATAACATCATTAATTTTTTCAGAACACAATAATACATGAATATCACAAAAATATTAATTTAATAACACTAAATAATCCAGGAGAATATTTACTTGTGCTAATACAAATTTTATTTTTTTTATTTTTCTATTAACTCCATGCGTCCTTGAAAATTAATGTAGTCCGGGTCCCGAGTCCGGACGTAATTAAGGCGGAAGAGTTGCCATGCACCAACCGCCGCCGCTCGCCTCGTCTTCTTGCTCTTCCGCTCCAACGGCATCGGCGCCGTAGAAGTTGGAGGATGTCGGAAAGACAGGACGCAGATCGGGAATTGTTATGCAGAGAAGCTTGTGGGATCTGCAGAGACGCGACGGGCTTAAATTTGTACTTTAAAACGTAAATATATTTTTTTTTTTGGTTTAGCGGGAACAAAAGCGTCGCGACGAAACAGAAAATTTTGATTTCGGGCCGACATTTTTAAACGCCGCTTCTACAGATTCGCTTTTTAAACTAACTTTCTTATAAGAAAATTTTTGCCGCAGGCAGTCGCAACTCTCCTTCTCTTCCCCCACTCCACTCCGTTCCTTAAATTTTGTTTTAGTTCTCGACCCCTTGGCGCGCTTTAATTTGTCTGAATCCACAGGAATTACTAAAACAGGGATTTAGGACAAAATGGAGGAGAAACGGGATTTAAAAGTCTGCAGGATTTGAAGTTGCCATTTTTGCTGTCATTTTGTTACCGTTTTTTAGGATTGACGCTAAATCCTGCCAATCCAATCACTCAAATTTATTAGGTTCAATGAGACGCATGATCGAGTTATGCTGCATTGTATTATGGTTTGAAGGCTTGATTTTTATTCCAGCTGCAACTGCGACATATCACTCTACATCTCAAAGAGGTGCGTGTGATTCGAAATTTTCTGGTTAAGTGATAATTTCTTTCCTTTGACTATTTTTGCTTTTAAATTTTTCAGTGCTTTTTAGGGGTTGTCTGGCAACGGATTAGATTCAAGTTATTAGAAGGATTTACTAAATCCTGTCCAGAAAACTGTATGCCAGCATATTTAGTAAATCCTGTAAATTTAATAAAAGTGTTCGGCAAGACTTAACCTATCACATTGTTTACACATGCATTCTTAGCTTCAATGCAGCATAAATCCCATAAATTCGCCAATTCGCTTGATTTAATAAATCCTGGATTTACGGTCGAAATCTGTGGAATCCGGATTTATCAAATCCGCGAATTCATTTTGTCCAAAATGTCCGTCAGACAAGATTTAGCCTACGTTGCACTTAAATCTTGAGGTAAACCCATTGCCAGACAATCCCTTTAAGTTTCCTCTTTTGGATTTGAATCAAATTTTATTGGACACTTGAATTTACTCGGAGGAAAAATTGATTTATCTATTGAAAAGACTTTTTATAAAGTATTTTCTTTGAATGCTGTTAAAGTTTCATTATTTATATGTAAATGGGATTATTGGTATCTTACAGGTTTAGGAGTTAAAATTCCCAATCCTTCCTTTTCTGTCAGTTGGCTGGATGATAAAACCACTTATCAAGCTGGTGATTCGGCAACTATTAAGATTAAGCTTTTGAACAATTCCTTAATTGGTAACCTCAGCACATACAACATGCAATTTTCAGTTTCTGTGGGTGGGAAGAAAGGAAATAGTTCATATATATCTGCTGTCTTTGCTTACATCGGCGGGGATCCTACATTTTGGAATATTTCTCTTACACCTATCCAAGTTGGGAACTTTTCTGTTGTTGTTGTTGAAGATTTTTCTGGAGTCGCTGATTCATCACTTCATTTCAGTGTTACTGCTGGTATATTCACGTCATGCCTTATTATTATGCTCTTCCTTTTATTTTGGGAATTTCACATATATGCCACACAATTCTTATGTATTTACATATCTAGCTCATAGACTTCCATATTTACATTGATAACAATTTGGTTTCATAAACCTATATATGAAAATGTGTTCTTCACTTTTAAAACGTAAGCAATGATGGTATTTTTGATGTGATGTTGCATGTAAATATGAAAGTTTTGGTGTTAGATAGTAAATAGATAAAAATTGTGTGGTATGTATGCAAATGCCCCGTTTATTTTATTTCCCCGTCGTCCTCTTCCCTCAATCATTTATGCATGCCAAAAGCTAGGCATGCTAGAATAAACTCAAGTTGAAGGTTGCTTCCTTCAAAGCTTGATTGACATGATTTTGGACATTTTCATACATGCAACTATCATAGAACTTTCCATTCTATTTTTTAATCTCTTTTACCAATTTTGTGTAACAACTCACTTTTTTGAAGACCGTCAATTACCATTCTTCACGTTTTATTCTTGGGAAATTTACCTGCCTACACACAATTCTTATATATTTACATATTTATCCCCAAAGTTTGATGTTTACACTTATAACAACTTGTTGTCATAAACCTATGCATGAAAAGGTGTATTTCACTTTTAAAAAGGCAATGATGGTGGTAGTTTTGATACGATGTTAAAGATTTGAGTGATATGCTTGTAAATATCAATGTTTAGGTTCGGATATGCAAATACACAAGAATTGTGTGTTATGTTTGTAAATGCCCCTTTTATTCTTCACAAGAGTCTTGCTAATTTTTGCTACAACATTTTATTTGAAGGACCAATGTACCCATCTGCTTGTCTGCCTTCTTGGATTGATTTTTTCGATGAGTCTTTAGCTGGGACAAAAACTTATTTGCTGATATATCCTAAAGATGCTTTTGGAAATAATGTCTCCTTAGTGCATATGCGAACTGAAGATTATTTTACACTGTCAACATCTTATTCCAATGGAACTGCAGTGGAGATTTTCAATTTAGTTTCTATTATTTGGAACGAATTGGGATATCTTGTCATCGAGTTTACTCCCACCATTGCTGGAAGGTTCCTTTTGCATGTTTATGGTGATAATCAAACTTTAAATGGTTCTCCTCTTCCATTTTCGGTAACACCAGGTTGGTTAATTGCATTATAATTGCCAGTCAAGAAAATGTACACCAATGGGTGATTTTTATTTGTTATTGAAGCGTTTTAAGCAAGTTTATGTATTTATATATATGTTAGTCTAGGATAGCTTTCTCTCATGAGTCATGATAAAGCACTTTACTAGTTTGACATGCTTGGATAATCATAAATAAGTATTTTATGCCAGTATCTTTTGTCATGTTAAACTATCTTGTTGCAAATAGAATGAGCTGTTAACCAAGTCATGTTATGGTCTTTTGTTAGGTGTAAGCATCTATTATCCTCCACCTTTTTTTTCTTGGTATTTATCTTTGGACTTAGCTTTTTGGTGACCTCAAGATATGCTCCATGGCTATATTGGAGGCCCACACCCCCTCTCACTTGTTTTTTTAAAAGATTGAGGGTTGCGGGAGGAGATGAAAATCAATCGCTAGAGAGAAAATTTATGGGGAGTTCAACATACAAACTAAACAATGAACAAACACACTATTGTTTGTGTTCATTATTTATATTAACACACACGCACACGGTGTGTGTTAATATAAATAATATTCTAAATTCAAACCAAAATTCAACTTAAAGAAAAAAGAATACTTGGCAAAAATGAGCTCTATTGATGGTTGATCTTTTATTTTATGCATTCTTTTCTATCTCACTTTCTTTTTCTTTGTTATTTTATTAATATGTTTCCCTCCACTTATTCTTATAAACTCTCAACCAATTTTTTGGAATTGGTGAGAATTGCAGTTCAACTGTTAAAATAAGGAAAAAGATGCGTGTGCATGTCGGTCAACTTTTTTTTTGATAGATTGATTTGAAAATATGGTATTTGAAAATAATTTTTGAAATTTAATTTAATATAATAGATATATAGTTTGGGTTTTGAAAGTAGTCTGTTTTAATTTTCAAAAAAAAAAAAAAAAAAAAAGACCAAAAGGAACACT